ACTCTCCAGAGTGAGATATTGTATAAAAGTGACATTTAAGTGAAGACAAAACGCTCTCTGGTTGGTCATGCTACATGTACAGGCGCCACCATTACACGAAGTAAGAACAAGCTTCCAGAAAGTATTGTTTAAGCTAGTTTCTCAGCTCAGTACCCGCCACTAATTATTGGCATATTTTTATGATAAATAGATTCTTTTTAACTCATGGATTTAACAAGATCTTTGAATTTTTTTAAGACCTAAAATATGTGGACATCGCCTGTAACTGATATACATGGAACTTGATATATCGATATTTTTATTGAATCTTGCATCTCTAGGTATAGTCACAATAAGTTTATCAACTTTGATAAGAATTACACAAGGCCCGTAGCATTTGCTACATATGTTACGTGGCTAATCCGGTCCTGATTTTAGTCACAGAAAGTTGCATTATCTTCACAAGCGTAGTAAGCATTTGATTGAACCAGAGTTGGTTGTCGAAGATTGGTGTTGTTGTGAAATCATCAAAATAACACTACATGTATCAAATATAAAAATATGCGATTAATCTACATAATGATTTATCGACAAATCATTATAATTTCTAATACTTAGGCATGGTTTCGAGGTGGATGAAACCGAGCTTCAGTATGCTCAGTAAGTAATATTTCAGGAGAACAGACTGTAAATTCATCATGCTCAAATCACGGTAAACGCGTTAAACCGACCGCACTCGAGTTATAACCAAATGTACATCGATGCTTAACTGTATATATATATATGAGTAGCTCGGTGGGGTAGTGGATAAGCGCCGCGGCCCGCGGTCGTTGTCGTTAAGCAACTTTCGCAAGGGTTGGTCACGGGATGGGTGACCAAAAAATTAGTATCTCGAGCTACTCCGTGCTTCGGAAGGCACGTTAAGCCGTTGGTCCCGGCTGCATTTGCAGTCGTCAATACCCTCCAATCCGCATTGGGCCAGTGTGGAGGGTCATGGCCCATACTCCTTAGCCATCCATAAGGAAGGCCTGAGCCCCTGCAGTGGGGACGTAAAAGGGCTGATGATGATTTATTTATTAAATTTTTCAGGTGAAGAACTATTCTACATGAAGTATTCATACATCACTTAGGTAACATTTGGAGGAGCGATCACGAGGCCCGTCAAAGTGTCGTTGCAGCTCCATCGTAATTTCATTGATGTCACTGAACAAAAACGATCTTCATTAAAAGTTGTTATATAGCTAATTTGATCAATTTTGGATTCTCAGTGCTATGCTGGAAAATATTCGTGATAAAAATAATATTTAAAAAATTCACTTTGTCCCTGGTACTCTGAGTTGGGTATCAAACTCACGACCTCAGGCAATCTACGACTGCGACTGCTCTAACCACTGAGTTACATAATATCAAAACGGACTGACCAATGTTTTGTATTTTATAGCATTATAATACTTACATAGGGTAGATGCGCTCGTTTCCCGTCCACCTTCCATTTTCGACCAATTCATAGTCCTCCTTTGTAAAAAGATCAATAAACAGTAATGTATACTCAAGTGACCAAAACTTAAACACATGGCAACCTGGCTATACTGATTACCCTCATATACACACATTAATACGATTAAACGAAGCTTTAAGCCAAAATCAACTAATTAATTTGAGGTTTGCAGCGGACAGCATCACACGCGTCATATATTAAGATGCCAATACGCAAAAAAATTGTAAGGTGCCAATATTTTGAAAGTGCGTTTCTAATTATTCTTAGGTCATTTTGGTTTATTTATTATTTTATTATTTTTGCTAGTTTATGACCTCTTATGGCTTATATTTCGAACAAACTTGATTTTAACATTCATTGCATTACTAAACTTTCATTACGAAAATCAGTTAAATCGGTACTATCATGTTAGAATTTAAATATAAAAACTTTACATTTATTAAAAATAGACTATATTTGGAGTCACCACAATTTTTTGGGTACAAATTACTTAACGGAACATTTATATTTTATGCTCAAAGTTGGTAATTCCACTGATTAGACGAAAACAGGCTTATCTACCCTATAAAATATAATTTCGCATTAAGGATTAAAGATTAGTAATTGTAACAGACAGTGAAAGCTATATCGAATCTATCTGTTTGTTATATCGCATTTACATTGGAGTGTTCGTGTTCATTCTCCATTTGAAATATATAGCGACGCTGCAAATCACGTACACGTAGCGACCCGCAAAACTGAAATTGTTAGTCTTGTTTCCGTATTAATTGATTTAGGGTTACCATATTTCTTACTGAATGGATGTTGTTACATATTTTTCGTAAGAAAACTTACTGTGAAAAAATCTAAAGAATTTTCTTCCTTCATCTAAATTTTGCCTGAAAAAGATTGCTAGATTGCCATAGATTTCGACTTTCACAAGTGACTAGACTGAATAACGATTTTGATTTGACGTTGAACATTTTTTACACGTAAGTGGGTACAGGGCAACGGCCAAGTCACGTAACATTAAATATAATAATAGAGAATAACTTTGTCTAGAGATTTCATTACATTTTTTTAGACGTAAACAAGCTCCATCGAGATTTGAATATTTTTTACATAATGTTTTTGGTGGGATTTAGTCTACAACAATCTCATTTGTTTTTTTACTTTTTAACTCATGTTTGCCAGTGACAAGACTACATCATGAGTTGAATAGCACATACTGCCACCTAGCGTTGTTATATGAAATTAACTAGAATATTACTGGCAAAGTGATATCTTTCGTAGCACCGTCCGAGTCCCATAGCACGGACAGCTACATGCCACGGATGTTAAAAGCAGAACGTGAATATTTAGTTTCCTAATTCAGTAACAGATGGCGCTACTCTTCTCCACATACAGGTAAATAATGTTTACGCTTATATTACAAAGAGGAAAGATTTGATTGTTTGTTTGTTGAGATCAAAAAGGCTCCGAAACTACTGGACTCATTTTAAAAATTCTTTCACCTACGAGAAGTTACATCACAAGAGGATGAGTAGATGGGCTATAATTTACGCGGCCATGTCGCGGCAAAACAGCTTCTATTGGATAAACTTATATCCAGTAACTTATTACTTTAGCTAGTAATATCCTATTTTCTATACCAACTTTAGGTTTAAAAAATTTTAATTTTGTGCTAATATATCATCCACAGTTGTCTTCTTTTTTTTCTTCAAATCTCATGCAAATATTATGCAGACACTAAAGGGTATTGAGAAGCTCCTTCGATACATCTGTATAACATACGTCAGCGTAATAAAAGAGAGTGCGCCAGGGTGATCATCTTATTGCTAGTCGATAGAAAATTGCGCAAAAATTGAAAAGCTTCTTTCTGACTGCTTCCACCCGGGTCTCCAAATGAACTGATTATCAAACACAACTCCAAGGTTTCTGATAATTTGAGAGTTAGGAATAATATTGCCGTCGAAAATTACAGATGGCAATTGTTCAAAGGTAATCCTAGAAACGTTCAAAGATAACGGCTGTCAATTACAATATTTTGAGTCTTAGAAGTGTTAACTATAAGACCGTATGATTTACTCCAATAGTTAATTAATGAAAGGTCAGAATTAGTAACCAAAACAGCTCTCGAGACATCAGATAAAATTTATAAAGATGAAAAAACGTAAAGGCGATAAATCGTCCCTAGCAGGTAACTTCGAAACCAATAAATTGCATTCGGAGATACGTTAAGAGAAACCAACACACTTTGAAGGACATCAAAATCAACACAGTTGAAGCTGTTACTAAAGTCTAGTAATGTCAGCAGCGTGTGCTGCTTATTCTCTACATCTACCCCATCGAATATCTGTAATCTTAACCCGGAAACCAAATTGTAAATAATTAAGGATTTGATTTGAACTACTGAACGTGTTAAGCTAACGCGAAACGAGTTCTACGAGAACTTTGGAAAGGAATACATCATCTGTGAAAATTTCAACTTTCTTACTATCACGATTTATGAGATAGAGCATTGTGAAAGTAAAAAAAATGACTTTTGTTGTATGGAAGTCCCCATAAATGTCTATTTTATTCTGGTTTTTAGTATTTGTCGTTGAAGCGGCAACAGTAATACATTACTGTGAAAATATCAACTGTCTATCTTTCACGGTTCATGGACAGAAAGACAGCGAAGCCTTAGTTTCCGGGTTCCTGTTTTACCCTTCGGTTACGGAACCATAAAAATGATCTTTATTCTTATCGTTGAATAAAATATTGATTATAACCAGGTAACAAAAAAAATACAGACTAAAGTTATGTATTTTGGCACTATGAGCCACGTGATTGTTTAGAAATTTAAAATTAAAAAACTAACATTTTCACGAAAAATTAACTACAAATTTTATGCGGAAACGACATTAATACTATATATAATACGGCATTTTTTGCACAAAATCTAAAAAAAATGTAATCCATTAAAATTCGAAAGAAACGTGACTTTTATTGATCGAATTTATTGACTTCTAATTCTGAAAGAGATCTTTTGTGGTGTAAACGTCAATGTAACATTTTGAGTCTCCGCCAGGTTGGCAAAGGAATATATTAAATCAACGGTTTGGCGGCTTTCAAATCAGCCGCCATGTTAAACGGTCCAAATACCATAATGATTAACATGAAAACTAGGTGTGCAATTAAATGGTGCCATTTAATACACTGTGAGCGGTCGTGTAAAAAAGGAAGAAGTTCGCAATTCGATATTTTTTTTATGAACTGAATTAAAATTTTTCTAAATTTGATCAGTAGTATTTATATAAAAATAACAGAAAAACTACACATACATATCGTCTCAATATATCGGTGTGTTTTATTTGACGATAAACTTTTTTTTTTAAAAACCGAAACAAAATTCTTAAGAAGTTCAAAGGCGGTTAACAAATTTGAGAAAACTCATTTGTGGTCAAATAGTTAAAAATTGTCAGATGAATTTAAGAGGACGCTTCTTGAATTTGTTACTTTTGTAGTTTTAAGATATAATTAAGATTTTTAATTACTATAAATGTTTGTCTTTTGTTTGTTAATTAAACAACTATAAATAAGTTGGAACGACGGGGAGAAATGAGGCACCAAGGTAACAAGAACTTTCGTTTAATGACAACATGATTTAATTCTATACAAATATAAATAGTCTGGTAATAACTAGCGCACACCACTCGATTATCTTAACCACATATAAATATTTTAACATTAAAACATAGTAAATTCGTCATAATTAATAGTGTTTGTGCAGTCGACGTAACACACATCGGCTACAATATCACGCAACAGTCACACACGTCACCACTTGTACATATTTACAATACCCGACACAGAATTCACCCGACCATACAATATTAACAGTTACCTACTGGATTCTACAGTATTAAAAAGTTTACTTATATAGTAATCGTCCCATTCGATCGTCATGCGTGCCTCAATAAGTAATATTTACACAGGAGGATGCGCAAGTAGCGCCCGGGCTATGTACAGAGATCGCGTGTCTGTTACGGCGGCGGCGGCCGGTACTGCGTGGGCGCAGCGATGCGATCTAATGCTGATATCCTGCAAAAACACGCCACGTCAACGCCCGCCGTTGTTGAAGTTTCGATTACATATATATACGATCCTCGTAGGTATGTAGGTAAGCACACATTGTAAAATTAGCTGAAAATGAAACAACAACCGCGTGCTGTAAGCGGAGCGCAAACCTTGAGATAACGTAAGGCGTATGCAAACACGTCGCACTAGAAGCCGTCACACCGAGTCGTTACAAAATATTTTAGAGTTATTCACACTTTAGTCCCATATCTGTCTGGAAATGTAAAGATAAATGCTGTGCTGAAGGAAGAAGTGAGTCCACAGTATAGAAACAGGCGTTAGAGGCGTAGAGGCGAAGAGTCAAGTCCCAAAGAGCGGTTTCCGTCCGGCTCCCGGTACTCACGCGTCGGGATGGTGGCGTGCGGCGGGCAGCAGCAGCAGAGGGCTTCCCGCGTCCAAGCCCGCCCCCGCCCCCGCTCCCGCGCCCGCGCCCGCCTCCACCGCCGCGTACAGCGGAGGCAGTACCTTGTGCGAGTGTGCCTCCACTGCGGAGCACAGACACAGTTACGATCTGCTCGCAGGCAGCAGTGCGATGAGGCCAGTTAGCGCCACGTACCGGGGAGGCCGCCGCCGCCGGCCCGCGCCACGCCCGCGTGACCGCCGCCCATGCTCTTCGGCTTGCGCTTCCTCGTCTGAATGCCGTCCTTCTTCATGCTCAGCGGCCGGTTCACCTGTGAACCGAGTCACCGGTCAGTCACGTCAGCGTGCGGGGAAACCTCCTCGTAATCTACCGCCACGTGCTCCTATCATCCTTTAAACAAGCGTATCTACCCACGAGGAGATAATTGATAAAAGATTATTTATCTCATTATGAATATTCGTGGTCGCACGATGATAATTCTCTATCAGTCGGTAGCCCCGCGTTTTATCTCACGAGATTAGATGAGACCCTGTGTTTTGATTTTTTATACAGGCCCGATGTTTGCCGAGGAGTTCCCTGATAATGCTGCACTGGTCTGCGATTAGATACTTGCGCGACAGTCAGCTCGTCTAATCAGCATAATCGATGCACAATCGCGACGATAGTTCTACATAGTGTGTCACGCGACTATCATTTGATATTATATCATAATGTTTGTAAACGCAAAGGGCTAATCATATAATTCGTATAACCATTATGTACTGATATGTATGCGTAAAAGTGCTCACGTTGTGCAGCTTGTAGTAGAGGCCACACGCGTTACAGACGGGCTCGCCGTTGTTGTTCCGCCGCCAGAGCGTGGTGTTGGAGGTGCGGCAGTTGGCGCAGGTCACGCCCACGCGCCGGTTCCCGTTCGTCGGCTGCCAAGCATACTGCTCGTTACACAACACTATTTATCAGAAAGTATTGTGGGTTTATATAGGTAGCGATGTGAACAATATTTACCAGAGCTTGTGGAGGTTTGGCTTTCTGCCCCTTGAGCGGCGGCCGGTTGACGCCGTTGATGCGCGTGTAGAGGCCGCACGCGTTGCACAAGTAGTGGCCCGTACCGTCGCGGCGCCACAGTGGGGTCGTTGCGGCTGCGCAGTTGACGCATTCTTTCACTTCGGCCATACCGGCCATCGCTAATGAGACAAGCATTAATACCGTTAAATTATTTCAGAAAAGTTATTAATTTAGATATAATCGTTAATAATACTGACCAGGATCAAATCCTTCATCGATAGGTAGTAAATTATGTGTCGGCCATGGTTGCGTTTGGGTCGTGTAACCTTCTACCAACAGTCCTCCTTCGTATCCAGGAACTGGCACGTATTCGACTCCGCTTCCTTGGCCTAGATAATGTTCACCACCCACTTTATACTGAACCGTATTGCCGTGGGTATATAGCGTAACCTAAAGACAAACAAACAAACAGAAATTATTACTTTCAGTTATTAAGTAATAAGTGTAGTTACAAGACTTGTTCATTATACTATACATACTTGCTGCGAGTTCGGACTCGGTGGGGCTTCGTATACAGCCTGAGATTGTGGTACGACGGAACCGTAAACAACGTGTCCTCCGCGCGGTGTCAGCGAAGACGAGAGGGTGGGGTCACTGCGGTACATGAGTTGGCTAGGCGGGGAGTCGTCACCGCGTCCACCTCCGTATAACGTCAGCAGTTCTTTACTACCGCCAGCGTATGCTCCGTAGCTCGCACTAGCGTACTGCGGACTCTGTCCTGCGTACGTATACCCTCCGTGCACGGACGTCACAGGTTGCAGGCTCGCGTACGTACTGGGCCGGGGCTCGCCCTCACCGCGTGTTTCATATTTCACTTGCTGATATGCGACACCGACCGCCTGTTGATTACTGAGCGCCGTCGTCTGGATCATCTCGAGCGCGGTGGACGCGACCGCTTGGTCACTGAGTACGGCAGCGTACTGCCTCCCGTCCGCTCCGGACACACTCGCATCGCTAGTGGCAGCATACACTTGCAACTGTTCCGGTTTATCCTTATGTGTCAGAAAAGTCTCATGCGCGTGCTCCTCTGGCTCACCGTCTTGTGGAACTATTACGTGATGCGGTGTACTGTAACGTAATGCTAAACCGCGACCGTACGGAGGACGCTGCGGCGCCCTCGTGTACTGTGGTTGCGGACGTTTATCGACAGGTGATGGGAGAGAACGATAAGGCTCTGTCTTGAAGGCGTGATAGCGTGCCGTCTCAGCGTCGGCGAAACGGAGTCGCTCCTCGTCATATTGTTGTGGATCACGCGCGTCAGGGGTGTCCTCTAATTTGGGCTGGTACTGTTGCATTTGCTGCGGCTCGTGTTCCAGTTGCTGTGGTTCGGGCGGCTCGTCCTTGACGCCGTCATCGGTTAGCTCCGTCGTCTCGGTGATGTGTCCGGCAGCGGTGATGGTGCGCATCGATCGCCGCGACGTGATGACGGAGTGTGAGTGCGCATGTGCGTGCGCATGCGGCGAGGGTTCCCTGCCGCCGCCGCCTCCGTCCCCCGCGTGCTCGGTGCCAGCCTGAACTTCATGCGGGGGCTCCGGCTCTGGCCTTTCTTCATTTTTTACCAGCTGCAGAGCTTCGGCCATCGGTTCTTCCCCATGTTGCTGCTCCTCGTTTCCCACTCGTCCCATTGAATTTACGGTTTCCATCGTCGATTCCTGTGTTAAAATAGTAATTATTAGATAAAGTCGACTCGAGAGCGATGACTCTTCACCTGACTCGATAAAAAACAAAGTAGAGGTAAAGTTTGCTTTAGACCGGAAGAGCCGAGCCACGGAAATACAAATAGGGAGAGAAGTCGTCGGCGCGGCGCCGGCGCCGCGGGCCCGCTTGTTGGCGACTCGCTCTAACTTGTACCAAATTATGTTTGCTTTTTAATAATAATTGATATTATGACGTTCACATGTTATTAGAAAGAAATATTATTATTTTTGTTATAGTGAAATGATCAAGAGAACGCCTTATTTTTTGTGTAAGTAGTTGGTATTTAATGATGGAATATAAAAGGTCATACTCCACGTAACATTTTAGATTTGACGGGGACGTACATTAACTTCTCGTATACGTATTTAGAAGCAACAGTCATTAATTCATTATGTACATTTGTTTCTTTAAATTACGCTTGAGTTTATATATTGATCGAATGCTCTTCTGAAGCACAAAAACCGTTCTAATACATACGTCGGCCGGATTTCCACACAACAAAATTCTATACGACATAAGCAATATATATATATAGAAACACTGTGAAAGTAGCTGATGTATACTAATCAACATACTGGCGTATCTTTATTATCTTCAATTTCGCATTTTTTTTTATTTATTACACAAACAATCATAACAAATATATTACAATATAGAGTAAAATACGAAAGGCACATCGAGTGTTACTAAATTACAGTTTTTATAATATTATTAAAGAGTCTGTAACTCTACCGTGCATAAGTAAAGAGTAATTTTAGCGTTACAAATAAGAAGTCCGTCACCGTTGGTCAACAATAGTTCTGTCCACGTGAGAAATTCTAATGTGAATCTCATTTCGAGTGAAAAATACAAAAACTGTACTGCACAGCTTAATCTTTTCGCCAATTTATCAACGTGTGGGCCCCACTGATGTTTGGAATTCAGCGTGTACGGTTTACACTGCACATTAAACATGTGAGCGTGTTAATCTCTACAAGTATTTTCAGTGTATCATGTATAATTTTAACAACAACAAGGATTCTTATTAATCAAAACTATGTTAGTTCGTGCGTCAAGCAAGGAACGCGAAAACAACAAAGATTTCTATAAGAAAGATATTTCTTTTCATGCTGGAAAAAAAATAATATTATAAAATGTAATATAAATGAAACTAACAAAATATTAATAAAAAATACTACTACAATAAAACAATTATCGTGCGCCAGAGTCTCTGAAGCTTAAACCATTATATTGTTCCGATACTTATTATTGTTTGACAAGTACATTTTCTAAAATATTAGCATATTCAAAAGAAAACAGACAAAAAATTTGTTTAGTACTAAATTGAAAATGAAACCGTTATAATTTTATTCGATTAAACTATCGACGCTAGTTAACCATTTTCATGAAATCAATACTGAATTGACGGAATATTCGGAAGCTATCCATGCAAATTAGATCTATTTCTTTTTGCTAATGTGTTCAGAACCTTACCATAAAATATTCGAAGCTATTATAGGTACAGCTAGTCTAGTCATATTTTTTTTTAAAGCGAACTTATAAATTTATGGTCGTCCTTATTTTGACACGGCTCTTCCGTTTGTTTGATAATAACATTCCCTCTATTTAATAGTGTCACTTCGTCTTTCAAATCTAGACCTGCACGAGTCATAGGATATAGCGTTGAACTGCGTCAGTTTAGAGTCGGTTGTTGTGTGGTCGTCCCGGTTTCCGTTAAGGCTGAGCCGCCGGGCGTCGCTCGAGCTCGCGGCCCGCTGTTTGCTCAACGGCGATAACGTCATCCAGTGATAACAGTTTCATCATATTAATAGCTCCGCGCCTACGACTTGGGAACACTATACTTGTAATATTTCGAGTACGCTATGATATACACGAGTCTCGCTATCTAGATCGCGTTGGACACCTTTCAAAATTCTCTGACACATTTCTCACGTAAACATGTTATTCAACTTTTCAATCTGGAAAAATCATACATCTCGGGCTATCGTCTGATTATTTTTCATTTTTTAACAATGATTATTTCTTTTACTTTCGTGTCGTCCTACGTGTGAAGGATTTAACGCAAAAGGTAGTTGGAATATAATAATCAATCCTTTTTAGGGTTCCCTAATAAACAAGGAACCCAACCGCCCTTACATGTAAAGTGGCGATGATATTTTTTTACATGTAATGTGAGGCATCTCTAGATAGGTCTTTCAAAAACATTGGGGTGTGGGGAGGTCCTTTTTCAATTAAGTAAACTGTTTGTGACTTATTAAGTTTCAAAGAGTTAATCTTCTTTAGAGTCAAGACTCCCCGCCCCTACCAGCTAAACGTTCGTCAAACGTACATGTATATAGCAAGGTTAAAAGAAAAACTATCACTTAAGATGGGTTAACAAGTTTACGAGTAATAGTTGACCATTTGTATTTAAATCGAAAATTATAAATATAATAAACAAAAATCTCAACTGCGTGATAACAAAAGAAAAAAGTGAAAAAATATATAATTACTTTCCCTTAAAACTTAAAAGAAAAAAACAAGCCTAGTAGTTTGGAATGTTATAAAGTACTACTGAATAACTGAATACCTTTTTGACCAATCAACGAAGCCCCGTACAATTTGAATTGGTCCCGGCTATTGGTCTTTCAATTCTGCTTTTGAATTTATTGTATAATATATTTTATGTGTGTATAGATTTCAAACTATTTCAAAGGAGCAGTTATTCAGTAGTACTTAATAACATTCCAAACTACTGGGCATGTTTTTTTTCCTAGGATTTTAAGCAACTTGCGGTGGTCTAAACTACTGATTATTAGTTCCTATAGAGACCTCACTCGGCTCAAAGTTACATATGCCTGACCTTTAACAAAAATTCGCGAACTTAAGTCAGCCAGAGCTCGGTCCAAGGTGGTTTTTGGCACTAAAAAGCTTAATAATTTGCGAACGGCTACCTATGTCTAAAAACGGTCTTCGCACACTTGTAATATTTTTGAAAGTTATATCCAACAATATCTCACGTTATAGGAAAATCGAAAAAATAAAAAATCATCCCCACTTTACATGTAAGGGAGGTACCCTAAAAAAGAATTTAGATTACTGTTGCTTAGTGACACTCGCAAGGTTAAGACAAATTGATTGACTTATAAATATCGAAATTGGCCAAGCCGTTTAGTCTCTACAATGCCATATACGAACAAACATACATACAAAGACTCATAAACACAATACCTTCTTTTGCGTTGCGCAGTCGTGTAAAAACGAGTACCAAATACCTAAAACCATTTAAATGTCTATTAAAATCTGGAATGTTTAGTTGCAAACTACTTATTTTATTTCGACTTCGATTCCGTATATATGTATATAAAATACAATTTAGTATCGCTATCTCTATCAAAACAATATTTTAAAATAGTCTGTCCAAAATTGGCCGCGTCAAACATTGGTCATGTTGAGTGTTTTAAAAAGAAAATTATATTGAAATGTTTCTCAGGCATTTATTGCATGTCACAAGTCTCAAGATGTCACGTTTAGATATATACAGTTAATTGTTATTTTAATAAGTATTTTTTGTCTGCTCCATCTTTCAACCAGCGGCTTCGCTCGCGCAACTTACACGATGGCTCGGCAATCACATTCCGTTTAGTAGTACTTGCGAGAAGAGTAATAAACCAAACATAGATCTATACTTAAAAAACTTACGCATTTATAATATTAGTAAGGTTATTTTTTATTTCTTATTCCGATATAACAGTGCGGCACATTTGTTAAACTTTCTGTTGTTTATAAATTTAAATTCTAATTATTAACGGAAAGACAATTGTGGAAACAACAAGTTTTTCTCATAGACACTATGTCGTTTTTATGATGTTTTAACTATATGTAGAAAAATAAATCTTTATTATTTTAAATTTTAATGCCAAAGCTTTTCCACTAAATTCCATACGAAAGACATCAACGAAGGAAATGTACGGTGTAATGAATTATATTTAATTTAATTACTTTTTATATTATAACTCCTACTAAATTACATTTTTATTTATGAAATAGATAACAATAGCTGTGCCTAAGACATCGCATAAGAAAGTAATTGAATTATTAGCGCGTGTCAAATCAAGTTTTTTGATGCAAAAATGCTTTGATTCTGTTCCAATATTAACTACTGTCATGTTATCGATTTGGTTTTTAAAATGGTATCGATATGATGACGGATATTAAACTAAAATTAGCTAAATTATTACAAAACGAACAAAAACCCAAAATTAACATAACATTAGATATATGCGAAAGTTCTTTATTTTATATAAATACATATAGAAAGTAAGACGTAGAGATTATAATATTACTATATTTTTAATAAAAAATGCTTAAAAGAATCCTTTTCCCCGGTACTCTGAGATGGGATTCGAACCCACGCAACCTTATACAATCCGGGCGGTTTCCATCTCAGAGTACCAGGGGGCGAAGTGGATATTTTAAGCATTTTTATTAAGAATATTTTCCAGTACGGTATTGTAAATGCAAAATAGATCAAATATTATATGAATATTTTAGAAAAAAAAAATACTGCTTAATAGTTTATATTAAGCTTATCCAAATCAATATGGAAAAAAAAGAAAAATAATGAGAAAACTTTCCGTACTTTTCCAAGTGTATGTTCGTGTATCGTGTTGTTATCGCACGAGTCCACAGTATCACAGACACAGCACTCGCCTGCCGGTGGTCCGCGCACGGCACTCACTGCGCGCGCGAGTCACTCCGCGCCCGCCGCCGCCGCCGCCGCCGCTGTCGCCGCCGCCCAATCAACCGCGCGGATGCCAAACAGAGGGCATTACGCACTCCCCATTGGTCGGCCCGCCGCTTACTTTTCACAAGTTTTCCTTGTAGTCGCGTCGTCTGAAGCTGTTTTTTATTATTTCTCGATGCGTATCTTAACAACATAATATATTTTTACCTGTAGGGAGACTATGCGATTATGCGCTACCATAATAAATAAACGCTTTATTGTACACCATAATTGCTTTAGAGAAAGTTGATAATATCATAAGTAACTTTCTAAAA